AAAAAAAAAAAAAAACGTGCAGACGTGCCGCTAATACATCACTACAGGAAGATAAGACGATTTCTCAAGGAAACTTTTGTATAAAGTATCGTCTGAACGAATCAAAATCTCGATTTGACCCTCATACATTAATGAACGATATAGCCAGAAGATTCATTAAAATGCGAATAATCGCTTATCACTTAAGACAAATATATCGGATGAGGCTGACGCGAGTCATTAAATTTAACAGGCGTGCTCTTTGTCCAACACATTTGATTTTTCGTGTTATCAGTCAGTATATATTATCGGAATTAATGTCGGAATTAACGTAAGCCCGCGAATCGCTCTTTCTCTTCCTTGATACTTTTTCTAGATACGTAGAAAGCCGATATTTACGAGATTAACCGTCGGCTTGTATCTCGATTGAGCTGATTACTGTTTACCAACGTTTACCAAATTCGAAGCCATTGTAGTGCTCCAGATTTCAAAGTTTACAAAAAGAAAAATCATCGCGTGTCTTCGATCATTTTTTACTGTGACAGATCTCGCGATCGAGTCACAGACCGTGAAGCGACGACGACAGTAGGTAATACGCGGCAGAATATGCTGCAGGAACAGACGGTGCACTTTGTGTTCCGTCCGTATTGGTTTCCATTTCCAGTTATTGAAATAGCTCGCGGATAAGTGCGCGCAAACATGCAACAATGCAATTGTTATTCCGGCGAACGGAATTAGGAGCGATAATCCTCGGGGTTTTTCCTCCGTCGCTGCCGCCACATCTTTTCTCGCATTATGTAATGAACGCATATGCGATATTACGCCATCGATAATACCAGAATAAACATCGTGCCCGATCATCTTCCGTGGAGAGGTGCCGCCCGTATAGCCGCGTGACATATGACCCGCGCGTCAGCGCGTGAATCACTTTCTGTTCTTGGTCACCGATAGGTACTCCGTGACATTACTTTCTCGATCTTATCTGTCATTCGGGGAATCGAAGATCGCGCGAGTGCCGCGAACGTCAGCGTGTTATGAAACCTTACCCAACTGTGCTGTGACGTTTAATGTGCCGTCGCGTGTATTTAATATTGCAAAGGAAAAAAAAAGAATGTAAAGGTGCGCGATTGAGATCGAAAGAAATCTCCGCCAAAGCTCGACGCGATTTATTCGCGAGCAATTTGAATTGCTAAGTTTGAATTAAAAATGAGATCACTCGTGCGGAAAATTGTAAAAAGAAAACGCATAAACCGCTCACGAGCGTATCGTTTCCTCGACGATTTATTCGAGAGCGATTGTTTGCACAATTGCGATGTAGGAGCGATGTCGCAAAACTGTGGCTCGCGCTGACGTTCTCTTTGTGAAAACACTAATTCCTTACTTTGCTTTCATCTTTCTCTTTTTTTTTCTTCTTTAAAATTCGTCCTCAATTGGACTTATCGGTCAAAGATATCCGATTTGCCATTCGCGAAACTGCTTATTACCGAATGTAACCGGAATATCATGGCAATGTATACCTCCGCATTACGCACGTTACTCGAAAGAGCGTAATGCGAAATCTGAAAGACGCGATTATAGTTGTCGAGATACAGAAGATACGCGAATCTCCGAATACTCAGGAAAAATTATTGTTCCCGAGAACAATAATTTTCATCAAAAGTGGACTTTCTCATCGCGTAAATATCTATTCTTATTTTTCCGTCGCATCTTGTTCACACCTATAACGGCGTCGAATCTTTATAGAAATCCAATTTAATATTACTTTTAGCGAATTCAGTTGCTAGTGCGCAATTAGTGCACATTAAAACCACACAAATCGAATAAATATGTGTGTATTATTGTATTATTGTACTATTTGGTAAAATATATGCATTTTATCTTTCACTTTTATAATACATTGAGATTAGAGCAATGTATACAACAGTGTCTTAATGTGCGCTGAGTGCGCAATCGAATTTGCTTTTAATTTTGAGTACTAAAAGTACAAAATAAATATAGTCGAATCTCGATAACTTGAACCTCTCTCAACTCGACAACTTGAAAACCTTTATAAGATGAAAATTTTGTTCATTCTCTTCCGCTCCAGTGCGAAAAACCTCTATAAATCGAAATAAAATCGAATTATTTGTCCGATATTTAGACGTATTATTTTATCTCTGCGAACAACTCGAATTTAAAGCCAGATCTCTATACAAGTCGAAGTTCACTTCTATAAATCTTCTATTGTCGCTGCCTTTATATTTCAAAGTTGATTGTAACATGAGTAATAGCCTGGTATTTGTTTTATGATTACATTTATTGTATGTACGCAATAAATAATTCACTAGCTATCAAATATTGAATTTTTGTCCTTTAAAAGCCAATATAATCGGAAAATGATAAACTATCGTACAAAGCCTCCGTAAGTCGAATTTTCATATGTTATCTCTCTTTTACTCAAATTTCGATAAGACGAAAACTTTATAACTTAAAGAGAAAGCTCTTCCCTTGAGATTCAAGTTATCGAGGTTCGACTGTAATTAATCACTATCTTCCAGTATTAAGTATGTCATTTATGTATTTATGTTTGCAGATGAAGGCAGCTTACAGAGCTCTAGACGCATTTTGCGAGCTACCAGATGAAACGCGAGCAAAATACGAACGCGTTTCGCCGGATAATCACGGCTATGTTAAACCAGGCACGGAGAAGTAAGTTGGAAAATTGCATTCTCAAATTGTTCCCGTAATTCATTTCGCCGCAATTCAATTTAATGAATTTAATCTCTTTTATTAACCAATTGCGATTTGTAACTCGATAATGATACAGCATATAGTACTCGAACATTTGCGATTTATATTCTGAAAATAAATTCTAATAAAGTTGATCTGCATTATTACATAATTATATGTTGCTTATAGAGGCAAATTATTTTTTTTTAATGCATGAATATTTATACTTTAAATAATTAGTTTTTGTGCACGTATTTTTTTTTAATTTATGGAATTTGCGTGTTGTCTTATAAATTTTTATCGGCGTTTTATTTAAATTAAATTTATTTTCCTACATGATTAGATTTTCGGACGAAATGGAACTTCGCCACGCTTTCAACGTGACCGGATGTGGACGAACCCTGCCGGAAGATGAGGTTCATGGATTTAGATCAGCGGTGGACGAATTGACACGCGATTTCAAGCAACTGGCCACCATGCTTCTTACCGTAATAATTCCGGATTTGTTTAATTTCATTTCCGTTTATGAATTTAATTCCTGGATTTTCTTGATTATTTTATCTCTTTCTGCAAACATCTTCGCTCTAACGTTATCATTTTAATTCTTTCGAGATTAGAGTTTCCCGAGAAGGGTCTTGTCGTGTGTTTGATCTTTGAATTGCAATTCACAGCGACTTCATTAATCAATGAGAACGGTCTAGTCTTCATGTAGAATCTAATAAACGTTACAAACTTGATTCGGCTGCAGGCTCTGTCCGTGGGTTTGGAACAGTCCCACGACTTCCTGCTGTCCAAGCACGCGCATATACTCCGCCCTGGTAACGCGTCCACCCTGCGTCTCCTCTACTACCCGCCACTCGGTACACCGATACAAGGACTGACCCGATGCGGCGCCCATTGTGACTATGGCACTTTCACTTTGTTGGCACAGGTATGCAGATTGCGGCATTACATTACGCGCCTTGAAACTTACTGTCTGGTGTAGTTCATCCATTAGAAGGCTACAAGATCATAAATAATTTCCTAGAAAATCCGTTTCACGACGCTTTGAGCACGTAACGCATCATAAATTTTACGTATCTTTACAATTTCGACGGAATTTTGATACAGAGATATCTTGGTACGTTCATTCGCGCAATACGGCGCGCAATCGTTTTACGATAAGCGACTCTAACCGTTATTAAATAAAACGTGAAGGTATTTAAAAGCGTACAGAAAAGGTGTTAGGGAGGAATTAAAACATAATGAATTATTACTATTAAACTAATAATTACTATTAAACATTAAAACAGAAGTAACGTAGTGTATCGTGTAAGCTAAGATTGAATGTCAAGTCAATATAAAAGTAACGTTATATTATTATACAATACACATATGCACAGATCGCTACTAATTACGAATGATTATTAATTATATAATTTCTATAAGATAATCAAATAATTTCAGGACTGCGAGGGTGGCCTTGAAATGCAAACTGGCGAAAGATGGGCTAGAGTGGGTCATCTCCCAGGTGCTATATTGGTGAATACTGGCGAGTTACTGGGACACTGGACCAACGAGCAGCTTCCAGCACTCAGACATCGCGTCGTTATGCCGGAACACTGCGGCCGCGGCCGTCATTCCATCGCTTTCTTCGTGCATCCAGACGACAATATTCCCATCGACCCATTAGATACAAAGATCACTATAGCCAACCAAGAAACAACTCCTTGCCGCCTCCAGAAAAAGAAGCGTAGCGTCCTTACAGCATATCAGCACCTTCAACGTCGTTTTCGCGAGACTTACGCGTCCTAATGTGTTGCATGCTGAATATTCCATCAGGATCCACAATGGACCTGGAAAATAAGTCTTTATATGGAGCAAAGAAATAAAATTTCACGGAAATTCGAAAGAGATCGATTTTACGGACAGTGAAATTAAGATTAACACAAGCTACGTGTTTTAGTGTTGACCAATTATATTTTGCTGTACATTGCTCGATATATATTACAAAAAATATATGCTTAAAAAATGTTACATAGAATATCCATTCCATTTAAGGTAAACGAACACAGGAAGGATAAGTTGTCGATATTTTTAATTCTGATAAATCTTAATGACATAGCTTGGATGTCTTAATTTCACGATTTTCGTTCAAGAATCAGTATCTTCACGAAGCAAAATTATGCAACTGAATGTTAAAGAAAGGTAACAGAAGAATGTAAAAGAAGATTACGATTCTCAGGCAATATAATAAATAAATTTGTACTTAATTTAAAAATTTCTGTTATTACTGAACCAAATAACTAACTCGAGTGAAGAGAATAGATGATTGTTTTGCTTCATTTAACCTTGCAATCTTTAAAACCATTTAGAATCCGGGATCCCAGTCAATTTCCTGCGGTTTCTGATACGTCTGGTAACAAAATAAAACGTCCCCGACTTTGAAAGTTACTGTGGGATCTTCGAATTTCAAATCGCATTCCATATTGATCTTGATCCACATTGTACTTGATAAGTAAATGGAACATTTCATTTCTTTTTCAGAATTTTCAGTTTTAGTTAATTAGTCAAGTATTTTTTTTATCGGTATAGAGGATTTCCTGTAAGAAAAAAAATATTATATAAACATAGATCCTAAAGTACCTTACTAGAAAGTTGTAATAAAAATATCTAGAAATCTACAGGAAGTAGGTCCTAAAACTTTTACTAAAAAGTTGTAACAAAAATATTTAGAAATCTACAAGAAACAATTTTTCTATAAAAGAATTTATATATTACCACTCATATATTACAATTAAACTGATGTTAAAAATTGTTTCTGTTATTTCTGAAACAGCATATGGATTTTTATATGCCACGATTGTTAAGAAAATCGATAACGCTGCTCCTCGTAAATATAGCTCAGTCAGTGATAAATTGCATTTCAATATTACATAAAACTTATATATTAACATAAGTTATGTAAGAACAACTTATGTTAACATGCGGACAGCAATTTTAAATGCAAACTTAGATGAAAAATTGTTTCCCGCAGATTTAATATTTTTACTATAACTTTTTAATAAAGCATTTCAGGACCAATATTTATATAGTATTTTTTTCTTATTTGGATTAAATATAGAATTGTTTTATTATTATTAGGTTTAATTCTTAAAAAATTAAAAATAGTATCACTTGAATTTTATTTTAAACTTGACACATTCAACTATAATTTTACTCTTTTAATTTGATACAGCAATTTTTTTTCGAGCTCGAACGCGTAGACTAGTTATTTTTCTGATCTCTTTGTAAAATTTACCTTTTTTAAAAAACCTTTTTTCTAATTTTGTATTGTAATAGCTATATATACATGAGATTTTTTTTTCAAGTCTTGATTAACTTAGGTTGTGTTTAGACAAACGTCATTTAAATTATTTAGCACGATTTATATAAATATATGGATTTATATAAATCTCGCGATTATTAGTTGCTTTCTATACATTTGGAAACCTTTGTATATAAATTCCTATCTTTCTTTCATATCTACGTTTCTGCATTCTATTAAACTATTTCCTTTTGAATCTTTATATTTCTTTCTCAATTAACTTACACTTGATCTCAATTCTTTTTTCTTTTAATCTGTCCATAAATTTCTACATGTATAATTTTAACAAAAATATTTCTCTTATGCTTCCTATCTAAATTTATTCTATATTTTTTTAAATTCCTTTAAGCATTCCTTCAATGTTTTATTAATCAAATTCTTAATAATCTTTTCTTTACGGCAATGCTAGAAAAACGTCCGAGCTTCTCGATCGGCATCGCTATTTTATCGATGATTTGTGCATATATGCGTGCGACATTGATGTGTAGTAATGTGTTTATATTTAATACCATGTCAATATCGCACATACATCGTAACAAATTTCGTGCAAAATTTCTCGAATATTAAATCTAAATCTAATTCTACTAAATGTTGTTTTTTCATGTAATCTATTAGTTTAATTATTGTAGTTTCATTAGTCGAATTGCATAGCTTTTACATCAAGCACATCTTGTTAACAATTCTAGTCGCTGCATAGAACTAAGAAATGGTAAAGATCTGAATTATAAAAAATTTTTTTTATTTTAAATTACAAGCGTTCGACACGTACTAATGCATATACTTTAATTCTGGATTTTCAAATCTATTAAAATAATACGTAGAAATCTTTACGCAAAAATTATTGTGTTTAATCGATAAAACAAATAAGTCTTCAGTAGTTCGTATAACTTACTCTTCTTCTCACTTCTCTTCTTTTGTGTTTTTTTCTCTTTCCTAACTTATACATATATTCCGTTCCCATCATGGCGATCGTTTTATGTTCTCTTATAAAATCATCGATTTTTCCATGCAAGAATTAATAAATCCCATTTACTATTTCTTTAAAGACTTAAAGAAAATTCCTACATTTTCTCATTTACTTCCTTCTCTATTAATGCTATATCATCTTAATGTTTTTGCGAAAATTGGAAATCCAAGATTACGAAAAAAATTTTTTCTTCCACTGAAAAAAAACTTACATATTCTGCAATATAAGCTAGTCCATAAATTCGTATGTACTCATTACACAGATATTTATAATTATTTTTTTATAAGTAAAAAATATTCTAATATATAAAAAATATTTCTAATTAATACATGTATATTGATCTATACTAATATATTTGACTCATAAATTTTTAATATTTAGGATGAAAATTAAAGATTAACGAAATTTTAACAAAACTTTAGTTATATAATACATACATATATATAATTTAATCGTAAAAACGAAATAAAAGATACGAAAATTAAAAGATTATGATAGACAATGACCATGTTCAGCAGACAAAGCAGATCAGTGAGCGCTTACTGATCAAGACTGCTGAACGTGGCCAATGATCTTCCTTAATCTCTTAAAAAAAATCGTTGCTATATTTATTTAAAAAAAATCAATATTTTTAATTTACAACATTAACTAATAATGTTTAAGCACTATGGGTGTGTATGCAGCTATAGCTTATCATTTCGCGGAAACTCACTAATTATTGAGAATTCTGGCTCTGTTTTCAATAGTTCTATAGTTCCTGATAGATTAAACAAATAGTTGTAGCCATTAAAAAAAACACACATAAGTACAATATAAATTGAGACGTCAAGTTCACGTAACGTCTCATTTTGTCCTGCGAAATTTTATATAGCAGATTTATGTAGGATTTTGAAAGATTTATAGTTCTATATGAGTTTTAGAAAGAATTCTGGCCATAAAAGTTACTTTCTTAATACTTTAATAATTTTTATCCCACAGAAAATCGTATTTATGGGAATGCTAACTTATTCTCTGACAGCTCTGTTAATTCTATGATAATTCTCGCGTAGTTCTAAATGTGTCTAATCTCTTTCTAGAGTTCTGATCATATACACAATTTATTAATTTTTATTACGCGAGAAAGCCACATTTACAAGTATGAGTGAAACGTCTAATTTTCATTAGCGCGCAAAATTTTTATCAGCGTCGAGTACGCTGTTCTTCGAAGACTTAAAAGAAGCACTCAGAATCATGGTATTTCAATATTGTTATTATAAAGATCCGCACATTTTGCAAAATACATAAATTCAATTCATCTTAAACTTATAAATAACATTCGCCAACGCGCACTAGGCGCCATTCGCCATTTTTTCAAATGAGATTTAAAAGAAACAAATATATATAAAAAAAAGAAAAGATACAGGGCTACTTTACTCGCAGATAAATATATTAATAGGATCAGAATTTGTGATTAGAAATCATTATTGTACACAGACTTCTATAGAATATCTAGATCGCTAACGTAGCTATAGTTTGTTACTATGTTTACCTATGTCACATCATAAATCATATACAGTGCTTCATAAATCACATACAGTATTTTATGAAGTAGTGTGAATTTAATAATATTGGTTAAACTTTTGACGTTTTTGAATGTAATCTATCACTAGGTACTGATGTTCGCTATCGCCTCTCTCGAGTTACTTGGCTTTATTTCATTTCTCGGAGCTAGTGATTTAAGATATTCTATAGAAATCTGTGTTATCGTTACGGCCACGGTAATAAATTTCATACGCGAGGTTGAACTTCCTTCATTTGTTTAGAACATTTTTCTTTCATCAACGAAGCTCTGCATTTCACAAAATGCAAATCGCTATTTATATTAATTTATAGTAAACTATAATTTGCGCGAGTTTCAGTTTGACGTTACATTTGCTGATCCTAGAGAATAAAAAGTCCATCGTGTCTTATAAATTATTTGAGGCTGTACCGTCGCTAAATCAGCGGTTTTTCTCCTCGAGCCCGTGCTATTCGCAATCTCATTCTTAAACGTAAAAATTGCGCAGATAAAAACATATCGATTTGCATGCCGCGATGCAGTTCAAATAAGTCGTTGCTTTTATATAAATGTACTTAATATAACAATTGTCTACATCATAGAAGGGACTCAAGTCCCAAAATAATGTTGCTAATGATGGTTACACAGCCTTATTCCTACATATTTCTCATATTTCTAGGAGAATTCAGTTGATACATCATAAAGTCGCGATTTTCAAAAATAACAGAGATACTTTCGCATCATCACATTTTATATGCGACGCACATTTATTTTATCTTCTCTTTTCCACGTTTATAATTGTACTGTGTCTCTCTCTTTCTCTCTCTCTCTTTCATCTTTTTCTGCAAATTGGTCCTTTCCATGCGATTGTACGTAAACAAATAACTACTCGCGAGCTGACATCTCTCTCTCTCTCTCTTAATGTTATTAAGGACTTCGAATGCGCTGAACAAACGTTATTAAATGTTCGGGAATAAAATTCAAGAGGAGAGTGATTCTTTTCGGTTTGAACACAACTCACAAGTATTCTAAAATATCGAAGCATGCGGACATGGGATCACGATGAAGTACAACTCGCAAATTTAAATAGTTGCAAAGAGTCTCTCCCTGTAGTAGTCCAAATCGGGATCTCTTAAAACTATTGGTAGATATACCCAGAATGTTAGAAAAACAGCGAAATAGCTAAAGATGTTTTTCTCCTATAAAAATGCCGTTTTTGAAGATTTATAGATATTCTTATATTAATTTTGGCGGCTTACATTTGAAGCGCGTTCTTCCAGTTACTTTTACTTCATTACAAGAAATAACTTTTATAATATAATCTTTATGTTTTTCTAATAAGAACGCAATAAAAGAAAGTGCTCATTTATTTGAATACTTATAATTTACCAACCTTTTTATTAAAGATAATAAAAAAATAATTCCACGTCTCAGATAATATTTACAGTATAAACAAAAAATGAAAATAAGCTATAGCATTTAATTCTATACGCAGTAACGATCTTGTGATTATTCAACACATTCCTCTTTTTTGTTCATAAAAAAATAATACTTAGTTTTGGGGAACAATTTTTGCGATTTTCTAAATTATTCTGTTCTAAGTCAAGAAGCTGTTACATTACGAAGTACAAAAATATACTTTTGATAAAACCGATTTCGTTGAGATCGGTTCAGGAGACAGCCAATTATTGATTATTACACACACACGCACACATACATACATTAGTGAGTCGTCGTTTAATTCTTTTCAATTGTTAAATTTGCCGAATTAAACAATCAAAATATCAAAATTTTTAGTACACACTTTCTTGTTAAACGTACATATACATATTTTATATGTACAAATATGTATATACATATATATAAAATTTGAATTTATGTACGATGTTTTACATGCATTATATTTAATATAATAAATATAAAACAACGTATATATATTTATTATTTGTATTATTGTAATTGGATATCAAGACTACCTAATGATAAGATATTAAAAGAACGACTTACTAACTGAACATTTTAAAAAAAGAGAGGCTTTAGATCTCGTTCACATTATACATACAGTAATAATCCAAGCAATCCAGCTGCGTTAGTTTTTCCTCGAAATCAACAAACAAGCATTTTCCTGGACAAGCATTGACTATCTGATTAATAAATAATGTACTTTGCGCAAAAAGTTATTTATATTTAATTTTTTTTAATTTTTCTTTTTTTTCGTATCACGTCTATAATAAATCTTTGAACGATTGTATTTTTTAAACTGCAAATTAATAATAATTGTTATACGTATTACTTTAATTGTTATATGTATAACTTCCAAATTCCTAATCGTTTTTGGGATTTGCATTATTTATTTCAAAATTTAAAAACATACTTTGCATAACAAACTACAATAACATATCCTTTAAAATATAAATCGTAACCATCTTTTCAAACACATAATCAAACCATAGAATATTTTTCATTATTAATGATGCTAAAAAATGATTTCGCTCCAATGTAATATTTTTTTCAACAATTACTGAAGCAAAATTATATTAAAATTGAAATTGACTATTTAAATTATGTCATTATAAACATTTCTATTAAAATTTTACGGAATGTTTGAACTGAGTGCGGTTGGATTGTTATCGTACTTATAATGTGAAAATTTTGTTATGAAAAATTTTAGTAGAAATTCTCCGATTACTTTGTAAATAATACGAGATGATCAGTTTTACATTCTATAATGAAATGCTTCTTTCTTCTACAGTAACGTTTACCTTGCAATAATTACATACTATTCCGGCTTAAACCCACCAATTCTTCTTAATTATAGACAATACCGCTGTATACCTAATGAAGCTGGGCAAAACGTAGGTTCATACATTTCAATTATAAAGCAAATCTTGTAGTTATTATCTGACTTGCACAATCCATCAATTTATCTAACAAAATGTGCTGAATATCACCGATCTCGCGTATGTCAATCACTACACTGAATAATGCTTTAATGAATCTTCGATAATTTAAAGACATCCGGACCATCACACGATCACACAATATTTAACAACGTTTGGAGACATACCGCCATTTTTATCCAACTTTGATACTCATTGTCAGTTCAATCCAAGATGAATTTCAATTCATTTTTGTGCGTAGAAACAATTAGGCAGCGTTCAGAATTTTCGTACACTTAAAAATTATTTAACATTACCTTTGTTTATCAGACCTCATTTGCCGCGAAATATTGGAAGCAGATTGATTACTAGGTAGACGGATCTCGATTAACAAGCGTGAATTCGTGTTCTTAAGCGATCACATTCGTCGCCGTAATGGGTAAAAACAACAATCAAATCCTATTTATACTTATTTTCAGAGTGAATATATATATATATATATATATATATGTATATGTATATATTCTATATACTTATTCAAAATCAGAGAGAATTTCAACATTTAACAAATTATCATAATATTTCATTAAAAAATTCTTATTTTTTTTACAAAATATAGAGTAAAAAGAATTAGATTTATCATATTACATCAATTAATCTAAATAAAGAAAAATTTAATAAATTTCACTGCAATAAAAGCCCGACATTTCGGAACTTAGTAATAACTTCATAACTTCGTAATTACAGGTACAGTGAAATGAGAATTATAAGAGATACTGAAACTATTATTTAAAACGACATTCGAGAAAATGATCTCTAAGTAAGACCATTGCATGAAAACTGATAAATCAAACTGTACGTAAACTCAAATTGTAGGTATCTAGCTTCGATCGCGAATAAGTTTCTTGACATTTCCATAGTCGACTAAAGCTGATAAATATTTTTTGACATTACACACGTAGTACCGTTACTCGATCTATGATCACATTCGCAACAATTTTCACAGCCTACTGATTAATCCTTAACGATCCACTTTGCTATCTTGCTTATCTTGGATTTGGAATTTATTGCGAATGCTCAAAAAGTATAAACTTTTCAATACACAAAAAAATTGCATGAGGCAGTTGTGGATCATTAACAATTAAAATATCGACTATCGAAGTGTCTTCGGTAAATAATGCCTTCAAATATCAAAGAATTTGACAAGCACTGCACTGTAACAATCATAAAATCACAAATAATGTTCGTTAGATATTTGCGCGATGCTAATCAAAGCTGTCTTAAAGACATATCGATTCAGAAGAACTCGGAAGTGTTTCATAAGTGTCTGAACTGTAATCGTCAAAAATGTATCTCCTTCCCCTTCTTTCCTTTCTGTCCGCGAGGCGCGATGCCTTTTGTTTCTTCATGACTTCTTTCTATTGAATAAAGTTCTATCTATTTACATCAAAGCCCTTGGTCGCGTGACGACACAGCTGGGCAGCAGCTGTAGACCTGGCTATCACGAGAGTACGGGAGCGACTTCAGTCGCGTCCTTGCAGTCTTGAATGGATAATTGAGCGATCTCGCTCACCATCTCTTCTTGAGCCTCCTTCTTCAGTATCGTATATTCCTGTTGTTCCTCGTTTCCACACATCGCTTTGCCATTAGTCGACCTTGTTTGGCCATTCGCCTTTTTTTTACTGGACGATTCCTCTCCAGAGGAATGATCTGCGCCTGGGTTTATCTTGAATACACTTTTGATAATGCTGTTCATCGTCGGCTGTGAGCGTTTCGGACTCTCCGAAGAGTTATACTTATCATCTTTGGTCGTTGGCGCTCTTCGTATTCGTGCATTACCTCTGACAAACTTATTGGCATTCTTCTGTACAGTCAATTGTTGTGTAGCTGGCACTTCCGTCTCTTTACTTTCCATCAAAGATATTTTATTGGATTCTAGTTTTACAAAATTCTTTTCCTCACACGACGGCGCTTCACCGACGGTATGCGCTACGAATTCTGGACTACAGACATCTTCTTTCTTCAGATACATATATTCAACCACAAGTTCATCGCTCTTTTTCAGATCCTCGTCTAAATCTGTCACCGGGATAATTTTCGATTCCTCTGTTTTTTCTACTGGAGCTTTATTGCTCTCTGCATGATTAGTTGTATCTTGGCGCTCCGTTGGCATTTCTCTTTGAAGAACTTTAACGGGACTCTTCGGCTTTGCGAAAGATTGATCTTCCTTACTTTGGCAATTTGTACAAGAAGTGTGCGTCGGTGAATTTGCCTGTCTCTTAGTAGAATTGTTTTTCTGAGCTACTCCCATATGCGGTCTATTTGCTCTATGCGCATTGTTTTGTACATTAAATGGCCCAGATTGCTCAGCATACTGCAACTGTACGTGATTGAAGTGTATTTGTGACTGTTGTGGTTGTGATTGCATCCTATGAATATCAATGTGCATTGCATTATCCATGTGCGGCGGCGGCGGCGGTGGTGACGGTATTGGCTGTTGTTGTTGTTGTTGCTGCTGCTGATAAGTAGTGTATGGCTGAAAAGGCTTCGGAGGATTAATAGCCGCAGTGGTATTTGCTGGTCCATATGGCAGATTTGAATTTGGATGCATATACTTCGTATTCACATACTGCGGCCACGTTTGCCTCGGTTGAAATTGGTGCTGTGCCGCAATAATATTCTGCACAACTTGACTATCCCTGCCGCGCTCGCGATAATTGTAGAGATCGAAGGCAATTCGATGATCGTTGTTGGAGGAGTATTGCGTCACGATATGTCCAGATATGAAGATAGACTCGTTCTTGGAAATTACTGAGCTCTGAGGCTGATGCCCGTAGCCCTCATGCATATGCATATTTTCGTTGTTAATAGTTCTGCCATAGGCGACACTCGAGTGATACTGCGGCGGTTGTGGTATGTACTCTTGTTGCTGCTGCTGTTCGGGATACTGAGGAAATTGCGATATCGGAGGTTGAACATCAATCCAAGTTTCCTGCTGCGGCGGACGTTGCTCGTTGTCGCGTATGGCCAGCACTGCATTCCAGACCTCCTTCAGCTCGCCCGTGATGTCTCGATCTTTCAGTATCGTGTAATTACGATTAAAGACTATCCCTGCATTCATCGCCTCTATGAAGTCTAATAGTAACTCGATAAAGCTCGTACGCTTCTGTAGAACACAATAATTACAATAAAAATTATAGACACTACATTGTGCTGATTTCGAAAATTAATAACAAGGAAGATATTTGTTAGTAAAGAAACTCTACAAGAATCTTTAAGAAGATTTTATTTACCTTTATATCCTGAGCGTTCTTGCCGCTCATTCTTAGGACTTCCGGATTGGCCATTACAGCAAACACTATGGCCTCCGTCTTTGTGCGAGGCGGTGGTAATCTCATACCACCATAAAGTGGCACAGGCAGTGAAGGTCTACGTGGCATTGCAATTTTGTCCCAAGACAGTACGTTTACATAACACGGAGCAGTAGTGCCCTACATCATTAACATTTATATAATACTCATGCCATTGATTCCTATAAGTTATGTAATCAACGATTCTTGGAGTAACGCTACTGTTATCACAATACCTGTATAAAATCCTGTATACACATGTGCGGCTGTGGTGGATTCTTAAAGAGTCGCGCTCCATTGCGTGATTTCATTCTGGGTACACTAGTTTCTGTCATTTTGCAACTGAAAAGTTAATTCGATTCAATAGCAAGAATCCCACACGTGTCATTCAATCTATGCTATCAAAATGCTCAAAATGTATATATTCTTGTTTTTTGTACGAGTATCGGGTTTAGGTTTACAACTGTTAGTGCGTTTACAACAGATAAGGAAACAGCAATCGGCTTGCCTTTCAAACTCGTCTAAGCAGACACGATCTGCTGTACAGATCGGAGTTTTGTAGATCTTCAAAGCAACGTGTAGGGGGAGTAAAAATGAGCGACTGGTTTTCGAAACTATTTTCAAATTTATACAAGCCTGTTACGAAGATCGAGCTATCGAAAATCTCTGGAATACCTGAGAACTCTTGTCTCTCGCGATCGTTCTAATAATTTATAGTACCGCGTGCGCGAGGAGTCTCAGAAGGATAAGAGTTATTAAATTGAAAACACTTCGCTACCAACATGGCGCGGCGGAAGGTCAGACTCGCGCATGTTATGACAGATGCGGCCGCGCAAAACCTCGTGGTGATCGCGATCGCTACGCCGCGCGGCTCTCGCGAAACGAATCGACGAGCAATTATGTAACACATGAGGGAAAAGGGGGCGATTCCGCGAGCTCAGATCTCTCGGTTGGATCGAGGTCGTTTCAAAAGGCACGGTCAAGGTTACATGTGCCCCCTGTAACATAACCTGTCAAAAACCGCGTCGGAGTCGCCGAGACGCGGCGGAGGGGAAGAAGGGTACGGCACGTAGCGTCTCTTCTCGTAGGAACTCACCTCGATGACAGTGTTTCACTCGCGAGAAAACAATCTCAAGCGGCCGTAAACTCAACGCGAAACATTCCCGAGGAGGGGAAATTGTTTCAAGGCAGACGAACCATTGTTCCTTTTGTTTATTATCTTCCCGGGGACTGCACGGCGCACGGCGCCCGCCCGATCGACACCTCACGCCCTCGCCAGTAGCCACGACCGCCACACGAACTTTCGTCACCCGTTGTTTCAATATGGCATGCGCCGCGGCCCGCATGCGCGCGCCTCATGCGCGGACATTTAAGTTCCGATTACACAATAGGCCTGTTCTTTACAGCTAAACTGGCTGCACTAGTTTACGGTTTATCTTTCTCTTTCCACATTGGAAGAAGAAAGGTATAAACTCTGAACTTGCTGTTCTTTATTGCTAACACCGACGAGATACTCTTAAAGACCGACAGCCCTGGGCAAATTTTCGTGCCAGCAAATGGGCCCGGTGGGCCCGGAGGTAATTGCAGAGTGTCGTTGTTATCAACTTTTGACATAAATTTGCGATTTATCTGAATAATACATTATTAAGATCATAATTTTTATTATATAAATAAGTAGCTTTATAAATAAGTATGAATACTTATAATGCTATAATATCAAATATATTGCCGCAAAATTACATTTTTTTTCCAACTGTTTTATCATCTCTCTGGATAATCAAGCTCGTGTGGTAACTATAAAAATGCAGTTTTAAATAAAATTAACTATTTGCAAGATATAATATATACATATGAATTACAATGTACATGTCTAAAAAACATTGATCTATTAATAAATCATAAAATTAATGTTATATTATTGACTAATTGCTTCAATTTTAGCAATTACTAAACCTGCCACGCTAAGTCCCGTAAGGGTATCGGTCTTTAAGAGTATCTCGTCGGTGTTGCTGAACTCAGTTCAGCAATAAAGAACAAGCCTAAAGCCCTGTGTCCGCAATACTAGAAATTGGATCAATTTTTCGAATTGAGAAAGATATAGCCCATAAAATTGCTGCTTTTCCGTAAAAGCTGCAAGTTGATTGGCTACACAATTCTTGGTCTGAGAACTTGGACCGATTTCTAATATCGTGGACATAAGGCTTTAAATGTAGACTACGTTCGTTTGGCGCTACGGCGTTTATAATTAGCATCTTTGTTTTTGTTTAACATTTAATGAACAACAAGGATGAAATGATGTGAGTGCGGTAAGCGCCAAAGCGAACGCAGCCGTAGTAAGCCTTAAGGTCTATCTACAATGAGAGTAGTAAGTCGTAAGCCATACAAAATTGGCCAATCATAGTCGATTATTCTTCTCGTATTCGACTGTGATTGGCCAATTTCTTACGGCTCACGACTTACTATGCTCACTGTAGATGGACCTTTAAACCGTAAGAAACGGACCAATTGCAGTTGAATTTGAAGAGAATAATGGATTATGATTGGTCAATTTCGTACGGCTTAAGGCTTACTACATCTATTGTGTTTTGAGACTAAAGGCGGGAGCACAGGCTTTTACATAACGCTGCATATGACGTAAGGCATAAAAGAATCAACCAATCAGAGTATGAAATGAAAAACTTTGATTGGTTGATTTTCTTATACCTTATGTTTTATGCGTTATATGCAGCGTTATGCAAAAGCCTGTGCTCCCGCCTTAAGGCGGCTAGACAAATGAGAATCTTATGTGAATCAATATGGCGACTTTATGCTGGCTGCTCATTGGTCTCTTTAGATACGTATGCAACTTCAAATATGTAGGCACTATTGTCCCTGTGTGTACGTACATACATACATACATACCACTGGTGAAATTGAAAAGTCTGTTTTATCGACCTCGTGCGAGTTCAGCCGGCCGACCTGCCAGCATCGCCTTAATAATATATACTAGATGAACGCGTTCGTCGACAGATGTCATGCGCAGTCCGCGGCAGTCGAAATTAGATCGTGGTCGTTGCTTGTTGTTCGCGATGTATGCAGTTTATGCATATCGCTAATCACTATATGTATTATATAATTCTTTTATCGCCAATGTGACGTGCTGTGCAATCTGTGTTGTGGTCAGCAGGTGTGACGTTGCCTTTCTTCAACGGCGGTGTATTTTAGCTCATTTGTCTGAATTCGCGTAACTGGTGCATCTTATTTTATATCGCTGCAACTATTGCGGCAACGTTCACGCTGCTCAGATTGCCGTGTGAACGAACACAAGCGATTGACTCTTGCACAGTAGTGTGTGTTGTGTGTGCGCGCGCGCGAGCGAGCGAGCGAGCGAGCGAGCGAGAGAGAGAGAGAGAGAGAGAGAGAGAGAGAGAGAGAGAGAGAGAGAGAGAGAG